TGTGTGTGCCCAGGCGATGCTGGCGTACCTGGCTTGCAAGTTACTGTACAGAGAACAAGAGGCCTGTGAAGGGGCAGGAGAAAGACTTGGGGCTTCATGGGGAAGAGTCTGAGCTCTCACACGTTCAGGTTTAAGAGGGCAAATGACACAGGGTAAGCAGAGAGCTTCCCAGAGTGTCTGGGACCTGGAAAGCTCCTAGTGAAAACTGGAGAACCCTTCTTGTGGCTGGAAGAGTCTTTCTGTCATTCAGTAGCCTGCCCTACCTGAAAAGGGAAAGACAGTAGCAAATACTCCACCACCATCCTTTCTGCATTCATTTCTTCCAGGCTGGGCTGCCAGGGGACAGAGTCTCTCTCTCTCTCTCTCTCTCTCTCTCTCTCTCTCTCTCTCTCTCTCTCTCTCTCTCTCTCTCTGTGTGTGTGTGTGTTTCTTTTGAGACAGGGTTTCTCCGTGTAGTTTTGGTGCCTGTCCTGGATCTCACTCTGTAAACCAGGCTGGCCTCGAACTCACAAAGATCCACCTGGCTCTGCCTCCCAAGTGCTAGGATTAAAGGCATGAGCTACCACCACCGCCCAGGACAGAGATTCTTAGGGGCAAGGAAGTAAACTTGGCATCTTCACTGCTGAAAAATAATCAATGGGGCATCTCAGGAGACTCCACTAAATCCAGTGAAAACTTCCTTGCTCAAATACTCTGAGGGCAATATAACCCTAGATTTCAGAATGTTTTTCTTGTTAATTTTTAATTGCTCGTTAATGTGAGTGTATGCCACATGTGTGCAGGTGCCCACAGAGGCCAGAAGAGGGCACCTTCTGTAGAGTTACAGGCAAGCTGGTGCACATGGGTGCTGGGGACCAAACTCTGGTCCTCTAGAAGAGCAGCAAGTGCTCTTAACTGCTTAGCTGTCTAGCCAGTTCAACCCCAGAATAATTTTCAAGCCTGTTGTGGTGGTTTGAATAAGAATGGCCCCATAGACTCACATATTTGAATGCTTAGGGAGTGGCACTATTTGAAAGGATTAGGAGGTGTGGCCTTGTTAGGGTAGGTGAGCCTTGCTGGAGGAAGTGTGTCACTGGGGGTGGGCTTTGAGGTTTCAAAAGTCCAATCTAGGCCCAGTGGCTCTCTCTTCCTGCTGCCTGTGAATCTGGATGTAGAATTCTCAGCCCCCTCTCCAGCACCATGTCTGCCTGTGTGCTGCCATGCTTCCCACCGTGATGATAATGGACTAAACCTCTGAACCTGTAAGCCAAGCCCAGTTAAATGTTTTCTTTTTATAGGAGTTGCTGTGGTCGTGGTGTCTCTTCATTAGCAATAACAGCAGCAGAACATTGACCAAGACACAGGTTCTTTCAAACATGCACCCCCCCCACACCTGGTTCCAAATGCAACCCTTAGAACCAGACATACATATCTGCTGATGTCACTGCATTCTCCTGGTCCTTTACCCAGGATTGCTGTGCACTTGCCTATCCTCTGATAAAGGTGAGACACTGAGAGGTGATTCTGCTTATTTGGATTGTTTTCAAGGCCAGCTGAGAATACCTTGTCTACCCAGCTCAGATGGCCTCCTGTCTGAAGACATCTCTTCTTCCTGGCTTCCTAAGAACAACCCTGCGTGTTTCAAAGGAATTCTGGATGGCCCTGATATTGTGACCCTGTGTCCCTTGGCTTGAATCCAAAGGAATCCTCTTGAGCGCCATAAAGGAAGTGGGAGGCATCACCAACACTGTTTAGCCGAAGATGTATTTGAGGGAATGCGGTAAGCCCCGGCAGGGAAAGAGGGTTGTTGAAACTTTACATGGTCCAAAATTCAAAAGCCACAAAGGGTTTGCAGGGCCATCAGTCCTGGGGTCGATAGATACTTTTAGACTCTGTGTCTCTCTTTACCCTACTCTTTTATAACATAGTATACATGCTGTATCTCTTATCTTCTCCCCTAAGCCCATACCTTGGAAAACAGTCTCATCAGTTATATAGGAAACTTCCCAGTTCTTTCCCTATAGATGAGTAGGAATGTGTTTGACTGTTTGGAAGTAGGGTGAAATATTCAACAAGCTCCCTTTTGATGAATACATAGCCTTCCTTTCCTGGTTCAAATAGTGATATGATATACTCATGCCTTTGTGTCCACGCAAGTACAGCAAGCAGAAAGTTGAGTCCCTAAAAACGGAATCAACGGAACAGATGGGCCAGGAACTTCTAATCGGGGTGGGTGCTTCCAAAATGTTTCCAAAGAGGTTGGACCACTTGACTTCCCTGCCATCAACGTAGGAGAGAGCCTGTCTGCCCAGAACTGCATAAGCAGTTATCCACCTTTGCACTGTTTGCTAACTGAAGGAGGGGCTGTCTATGTTACTGTGCTTTGCATTTTAAAGCCAATGAACAGCATCCGGCTCTTCTAGACTGGCACCTTCCCTGAGTCTAATGGGATCACAAACATCTGTCTGTAAACAACTGTCTTTTCTTATGATGGTTCTGGATTTGGGGCATCACAGAATGTTGGTTCTTACAGAGAGAAGAGTGGTCCTGTGGCAGGCAGGGTGGGAGATATAGGAATTTGAGGGATTTGGCTACAGGCACAGATCTGCCACTTAGCTTTATGATCTTTGCAAATAATTCTACGTCTTCCAAATTCAGTCTCCTCACATTAAAAATGGAGGTAATATTGATTTTTTGCATTGCCTTGTGATCTGGCACATGAAAGATACTTAACAATGGTATTTAAATGGTAGCATAATAATCACTAGGTCAGGGTTAACCCCCTGGATACTTTTCACAAAGCACACTCTTACTCTCTAGCCAGGATCAAATGGCTTTTTCCTCAAGTGGCCAGCCAGACCATTCCCACCTCCTCCTCTGAGTCACTTAACCTCTTCCACAGCCTGAGGTAGATCTCTCAACTCTTCTTTGGGCCTGAGTGAAGGCTACGCCAGCTTGTCCCTGGGCCAGCTTTCCTTGTTGCCATAAGATGTCTTCACACAAAGGGAGAAGACAGGGCTCCTTTTCAATTGCAGATGGGCAGGCGAGAGATAGCACAGAATCCTCTGACAGAATGCCAAGGACTTTCATCAGCTCCATACTCTGTGGTGTCTGCCTTTTCAGGATATTATTTCTGAGGAGGTCACCAAAGACGGATCTCTAGTTCTGACAGGAATGCCCACAGCTACGGTTTCTGTTTGTGCCAATAACCCTCTCCTCAGAGGACTCAGAAGTTTTCCATTCAGGCAGACAGCACCTCCTTTCACTCCCCAGGCTGGTAGAAATTGTGAGCATGTTCCTGGAGTGAGTGGGGAGCTGGGAGGAGAGTTGCAGCTCACATGCCTAATACACATCGAGCCATCAGAAAACCACACCGGGTTCTCTCTGGATATGGCTATGACTGTATGCCAGCTTAGAGTCTCTCCTACCTGGGAGCTGGGAGAAGAGGTTGAGAAATTATAACTGTTATCGGAGTGTGCCTTTGTTCTTTTTTTCCTTGGTTCACCTCTGGCCTGTCTGAAAGGGACAGGATCAAAATGTCTGTGGCTTCCAAACACTTCCTTAGTACCGAAAGAGACGCCTTGTCCCTCCCTCCGAAGACTGTAAACCCCAGGGAATCTTTAGCAAAGTGAATGCTGGGTATCTTGTCTCTCATCATTGTCCCTCGAACTGTCTCCTATTGTGTCTGGTATTGTCTCTCCTGGGACTGGCTCAGACACAGGTAGGACACAGAGATCCCACTGCATACATCAATCCCTGCCAGTTACATAGCTGTCTCCCTGGAATCGGCCCCTAGGCCTGCTTGGGAGAACCCCAGTTCCTGTTCTCCTGCAACCCGGCCAATAACGCAGTCCTGGACTGGGTGGGAGAGGGTTTGCTGTCCTCACAGACTGGAAAAGCCCAGAGAATGTAGCTCAGTCTGCTGGCTGGACGGCTCCCACAACAAACTTGTTAGGAAGTGTAAACGTCCAGGGCCCCACAGCTGCAGGCAGAGAAAAGGAAGGTCCTGGTGAGACCAAAAAACACAAAAACAAAAACAAAACAAAACAAAACAAAAACCAAAAAAAAAAAAACCAACAACAAAAACAAAACAAACAAAAACAGTTACCCCCACCCCACCCACTCGTGCCGCTGCCAAACAAAATCAAAGTAGCTGAAGGTAGCCCTAGGGTGCTGATAGCTCATAGGTCTCATTTCTGCCTTTCTTCTTTGCCTCTGAGGACACCACCCTTCTAGGGAGTCTTCTGAAGCACCAACATGTGCCAGCAGAGCTCGGGGTGACCAGGACCAGGCAGCAGACTCACTCCGAGCCCTTGTCCCTCCGTTCCTGGTCTCTATTTGGGTCAAGCCTTGATGCGGCTAGTAGAAGCTTCTCGAGGCTGGCACCGGGTTCGGGATGCGGGCGCAGGGAGGTGGGCCCGGGGGCTCAGGAGCAAGCGGGCAAAGGACCTGCCACGGAGCCGAATCTCTTAACAGGGAAACCTCTGGCTGCCCTGGCCCCAGAGTCGCTGGCAAAGATGCCTGTCCCCGAACTCCCTCGGATTGTCGCGCCCACACACCCCGCCCCTTGAAGCCACAAAAGCACCTCTGCCCTCATTATTTCGTAAAACTTCAGGAAAATCCCTAGCAAGCTTGCTGGAACCTGGACGCACCGACTGACAACTGCCAATGACCAGGACAGCGCCCTCCAGTCCCCGAATCCCCTCCCGCACCCACGATCGCTAGGTTCCCATGCCTAGGACATCCCTGGAAGCACCCGGTGTCGCCTGCCCCGAGGCTGGTCACCAAGGGTCCCAGAGGGTCACCGACGCCAAGGTTCAGCCATGAAAGCAGGCAGGATCCCAGGAAAGTGGTGCGGGGCCAACAGGCGGGGACCGGTGGAGGCGAGGGGCTCCGGGGGCTGGCAGCCGCCCGACTGCGCCTCTTTGAGCTACCGCAGCCGCCGGAGCCAGGAGGACGAAGAGCGCGGAGCTGGGTCAGGGCGCGGTGCTCTGCGCAAGGTGGCACCGGGGAGCGCTTACCTGGGTGCTCAGTCGCCCCCGACAGCGCTCCGGCGCCGGGCACATCCACACTCCGAGCCCGGCGATCCGCCTACTGTGTGGCCGCACCGCACAGCTCCCTCGGCGTGGGCGATTGCCTCGTAGGTCCCGCGGCCAAGGCTGCTCCGCTCCGCCGTGGCTCCCGCGCGGCACTGCCCCGGGCTCTGCGCGCCTTCCTCCCAGCGCCAGCGGCCTGGCCGGCCCACGTGAGGCTGCTCTGCCCGCCCCGGCTCTGAGAGCGCTGCCCGGGTACCCAGCCCAGAACCTCCTGGCTCCTCCAGGTGGCCCGGGATGGGGGCAGGTACCGAGAGACCTGATTGGCGCTGGCGGGAGTCCTGGGAGAATCCCCAACCATCAAGGAGAACTGCACTTAGGGATGTAATGGGTCCGCTGGCGTGTTTGTCCGGAAAAAACCCTCACTTAGCTCAGCTGCCTTTTAGCCCAAGCAACGCAGACCCCAAGAGTCGCAGCATCCGAGGGACGACTCAGTAGTGGGGACTTGACAGGCTGCAAATGGAAAGTCTAGAAGAGAATTTAGGCGCCAGAGTGTGTCGCTGTCCACTGAAGAGGGACCGCCCTGACAGCTACCTCAAAGGCTCATCCTTTTTGCTATTCCCAGGCCTGGGAGTCTAGTGACACCGAGGTCTCTGCCTTTGATGTACCAGGTCCTTGTGGAGGAGGCAGAGTTAGAGTGTGTGCTTACCTAGCCCTCTGGTGTCAGACCTATCAGGAAAGGGACAAGAGAAACATTAGAGGTGCTAGGGATTTCTTAACTAGCGTCTTAAAACAAAACAAAACAAAACACCATTTATTTATAGGTGTGCGTACTATGCCCCTACGTGAAAGTCAGAGGACAACTCTCAGGAATCAGTTCTTTCCTTACATCGTGGGGGTCCCGGGACTTGAACTCAGGTGGTCAGTGACAATGTTTACCCTCTAAGCCACCTCAGCAGCCCTCCTCAATGACTTAAGACTCGGAGAGTTACCTGAGAACTGTACCCCTAACAGGAAAATTATGATAGCAGTCGTTGGAAGGTCTGCTCAGAGAACAGGACAGGAAGAGAACGAAGGAAACCATCCTCGACAAAGGATCTCAGGCCAGAATTCCTTTCTCAGGATTCTGCGTCAGTCCTGTTTGGTCTGGAGATTTGGAGGAAGAAACCGGGTCACTTAGGATAAGCCAGTGAGGAAGCTTTCCCACTACATCAGTTATGTTTTCTTTTTCACACTTGGGGTAGTCTGGGCTGTTCAAGGAAAAGACGACAGATTTGAGAAACAAAAATAAAATCCTGAACATGAGAAATGATAGGTTCCCAGTCTGATCTGATTCATCAAAGGATAAGAAGAGTGTCATCAAGATAGACGACTTCATTATTCTCAATTCATTATTTTAAAGAAATAACCATCTAAGGCCAGCTTCCCCCTCCACCTGGTCACTGCAGGGGAACTTCTGTGGTTCAGTACTACGTTACTCTCTGTTCCCGGGTTGTAAATATAAAGCTCACATTTCTATGTATCACCTCGTCTTGGCACAATCAGATCTCACACCTGCATTCCTTTCTCATCTCTTTTGCGAAGGCAAAACAACAAAATATGAGAATGTTGCCATTTCAATGCAGACCTTTACACAGAAAAACAAGATGCTGTCTGTACACTGGTTAATGACTCATTGTAAGTCAGACATCTATTTAAGTCCCATCTGAGTTACTGCCAGAACCCAAAGCCTCTTCTACACCTCTCCACTTCCCAAGTCCCTCCTCCTGAAGTAGCCACCACCCTAAGGTTGTCATATCCTCCTGTGTTTCTAGGGTTTTGTCTATTTGTGATACATCTCTAAACAACATCATTACTCTTGCTTGTATTTAAGCTTCCTATAAACAGAATAACATATCGAGCATTTATATTTTTGTGCCCATGCTTTTATTTGGTTGTTTGTGGTAACTGCCTCTTTTGTTACATGTGGTTGGCTGTTCATTTTTCACAATACTTGATATCCCTTTATATGAACACGTCATTATTCAGTTATATGATTTAGAAGGACTGCTTCCAGATGATGTCACGGGAGATTGTGAACTGACTGACATGGGTGCTGGCAATCATCCTCCAGTCCTTTGGAAGAGCAGTGTTCACTCTTGACTACTGACCTAGCTCTCCAGTCCTCACAGGTGGTTTTGAGAAACAGTACAAAGATTGGAATGTGGTTCAGTTGGCAGAGCACTTTCTTGGCATGTGCAAAGCTCTGGGCTCCATCCCCAACACGGTAGAAACCCAGTGTGCCAGTGCATGCCTGTAACTGTAGAGAGATTTTTCTTTGGGCCGCCAGCTCAAAAAAAACAAACAGGAAGGAGGATCAAAAGTCCAAGGTTATCTTCCACTACGTACTGAGTTTGAGGCCAATCTGGGCTACACAAGACCCTATCTCAAAATAATAACAATATTAATGAAAAATACAAAGACATTTCAAGACCCACGTACCCTTTACCTAGTTTCCCCTATTGGTAACATCTTGAGAATTACAGTACAACGTTTCAAGGTGAATATTGTCACCAACACAGCCCAGATACAAAACACGTCTATACCACAAGAGTCCCTCTTAGTGCCCTTCTGTAGACAAACTTACTTCCCTTCTGCACCTCTCCTACGTCCAACTGCTGGAAACCATTTACGATATTGGTTTTCAGCTCCAGAAATTTGTGATTTCAAGAATGCTTTACAGATGAAGCTATTTGTCACTCTCTGGAGATTCTTCCTGCTGTCCCATGGATCAATGTTTCCTTTCTTTTTATTACCGAGCAACATTCCTCGGCTGCATGTGCCACAGCTTGTTTAATTGTTTAACTGTTTGCAGTTTGGGGCTACTACAAATGGAAGTTGCCATGAACACTCACAGACTGGATTGTGCATGAACCCAATTTTCATATCTCCAGGAGGGATGCCCAGCATGCCAGTGCTGGATGATGTGGTAGCTGGGTGCTTTATTTTAAGAGTCAGCCAGTCTTTTTCCAAGAACAGCTGCATCATTGTCCTCACTAGCAGCGTGGTTGATCTAGCCTCGATTCTTCCATCATTTGATGAATGCTGATGAAACTATCACCCGAATCGAGGTGATACTCCCACAATGCCCCAGAGAAAGTTCCCTTGTGCCTCTTCATCTTCTGTGGGATTCTAAGATGTATCTTATGGTTGTTTGAATATTTAACATTAGACTTACCCCAACAGAAATTTGTATGGACAAAATAGTATTGCTAGGAATTATGTTGTTGACTACCGATCTTGCATAACTGAAACTTTATTCCTGGGCCTAGAGAGATGGCTCAGCAGTAAATAATGCTTATGCTCTTGCAGAGGACCTGGGTTCAGTTCCCAGGACCCAGGGCTGAAGCTTAGAACCCTCTGTAACTCCAGTTCCAGTGTATCTTACAAGCTCTTCTGGCCTCTATTCATGTGGGGCACATAAACTCATACAGGAACACACACACACACACACACACACACACACACACACACACACACACACACACACATTTTAGAAATTTAATTAAAACCTCTGTACCCATTGGGCATTAGCACTCCATCTTCTAGTCTTTTAGCTACTGGAAACTGTTCTAGTCACTGCTTGGTGAGTAGCTGTGTTAGCACCAGAGCATTAGCTGGATCAGGCAGCTTGTATGGCTCATTTCACTTAGCATGATGTCCTGGTTCATCCACCTTGTTCAAGGAGCAGGATTTCCTTTTTACCTAGGGCCGACGAATCTTCTACTGTGTACAGATCACATCCTCTCTCCTCTCCTCTCCTCCTCCTCTTCCTCCCCCCACCTTCTTGAAACAGGGTCTTAGATATAGGCAGACTGGCATTGAACTTGAGATCTCTCTGCTTTACCATCCCATGGGCTGGAGTTATAGGTACACACCAACTGATATATCATTTTATCCATTCATCTGTTGGTGGGCATTTGGATTATTTTCATACCTAGGCTAAGGTGGATAATGCTGAAATGAAGATGGAAGTGTGACTATTTCTTCAAGATACTGATTTCATTACATACATCTTCCTCCTCCTCCCTATCTATCTATCTATCTATCTATCTATCTATCTATCTATCTATCTATCCATTGTATTATATTTGTGTCTCAGTTTCTTTTCTATTACTGGGATAAGACACCAATTCCAAAGTAATTTATAGAAAAGGGTTTATTTGAGGCTTAGAGTTTCAGAAGGCACCAGGCAAGCAGGCATGTTCTGGAGCATTAGCTGGGAGCTTTACATCCTGGAAAAAGGCAAAAGACAGAGAGAGGGACACTGGGCTTGTTGTGGGCCTTTGAAATCTCAAAGCCCACCCCTAGTGACACACCTCCTCCAACAAGGCCACACCTCCTAATCCTTCCCAAGCAGTTCTACTAACTGGAGACCAAGTGTTCACATATATGAGCCAATGGGGGCCATTCTCATTCAAACCACCACAATTTGCAAATGCTAGTTTCTCTACCGCCTTTGTTATCTTTTGATAATTGCCATCCTAACTAGTGTGAGGTAATACTCAGTGTAGCTTGGGTTTGCATTTCCCTGTTTTTTGGTTTCTTGTTTTTTATTTTGTTTTTTAGTGATGTTGATGACCTTTTCTTATACCTCCTGGCTTTGGAGATATGTTTATTTAATTCCTTTGCCTAAAATATTGAGATGATTTTTCTATTTCTACAAAAGATGACATTGGTTTTTTTTGTTTGTTTGTTTTTTGTCTTTTGTTTTTGTTTTTTTGTTTTTTTGAGACACTTTGGAGCCTGTCCTGGAACTCACTCTGTAGCCCAGACTGGCCTCGAACTCACAGAGATCCACCTGCCTCTGCCTCCCGAGTGCTGGGATTAAAGGCGTGCGCCACCACCGCCAGCGACATTGATATTTTGATGAGATGGCACCAAGTCTGCAGACCACATTGGAGAGTATGGGTGTTTTAACACTATTAAGTCTTCCAGCTTGGCCTTTGAGCCTCATGCATGCTGGAGAAGGACCCTGCCACTGTGGTTCCTCCTAGACCTTGCATTCTGTTTAGCTTATTTCATTAATGTTGATCATGTAGACTGTGCATATCATTTACCTCCTCTCTTGGTTGCTAAGTATCTGTGGTTTGATGCTGCTGCAAATGGAGCTGTTTTCTTAGTTTCTTTTCCAGATAGTGAATTGTTTGTGTTTGGCTGTTTGGCCCCAAACTCATAAAAATCCACCTGCCTCTGCCTCTCAAGTGCTGGAATTAAAGGTGTTTTGTTTTTGTTTTTGTTTTTCAAGACAGGGTTTCTCTGTGTAGTTTTGGTACCTGTCCTGGATCTTACTCTGTAGACCAGGCTGGCCTCGAACTCACAGAGTTCCTGAGTGCTGGGATTAAAGGTGCGAACCATCACCAGGTGTGTTTTTAATCCAGGGTCTTATTATGGAGGTGTGTACTCACTAAGTAGCCTAGGAGAATTTATAGAAATCCTTCTGCTTCAGCCTGAGCACTAGGATTATAGGACTGTACCATCATGCCTGGTG